CCCCTTCAGCCAGTTCAGCCCTGCCCAGTGCCAGGTCTCGATCACAGGGTGCTTACACTCCAGTCATGGAACATTACAGCCGAAGGACATTGATGTAAATCTTGTCAGGTCCTCTGATTTCACTAAGAACTGGAACTCCAAAGAAATTAAGCATTTTGTTCAAATAACAAATTGGTATCAGAGCCTGGCCTGGAAGCCAGATTTCTCACCCCCAGTCCAGTGTCCCCCCAGGAGGCCAGGGTAGGTCAGCAAAATGTGGGTGGGGTGTGAAGAGGCAGAAAGGTATGGGGCCTGAGATGAGGAGAAGAATACCATCTCCGAGGGCCCGGGCAGGCTAGGAGAGCAGGTATCTCTAGGCGGGTCCTGTTGAGGTTGAGTTCCTCTATCCTGTCCACACCTCCAGGACTCCCTGCTGTTCTTCAGCCTGCAGACACTTATTTGGGGCTTCGGGCTTTGGCACACACCGAACGCTGGAAGAAGGTGCTTAGTATCTGCACAGTAGCACCAGGTGTGTTGTGGATCCAGAGGGATTAACCGACCCAGGGAGCTGGGGTCAGATTTCTGAGGGACTTCCGTGAACTGGAGATGGAAGGGCAGCAGGGCCACAGAGCAAGGACGCTGCAGGGTTGCTCACCGGGAAGAATGAAGCCAGCGCTCCAGCCAAGTGAGGTGCTTGGGTGTATGTTTGCGAATAGGAAAGCAAAGCAGTTTCTGAGTCCAAGACTACCACCTGTTTATTGTTGATGAGGGGGAGGGGAATGCAGCGTGTGTGTGTGTGTGTGTGTGTGTGTGTGTGTGTATGTGCGCGTCCGTGTGTGTACGTGTGTTGGGCCAATTGCTGTTTTCTAAACATGTGAAAAACTTAATTGCATCTCCAAGAGTCCAAAATGCACTTAGCATAAGATAATACCCTCTTTATTCTTAACCCCAGATGAGGTCCTGGTGAGAACGTGTGTCTACTTTTAGGCCTGAAAAAGGGCAGACTATGAGGACCAGGGATCAGGGCAGCACTGTCGAGTGGGAACATAATGTAATTTTAAATTTTCTGCTAGTAAAATGGAGCAGGTGAAATTAATTTTAATAATTTATTTTATTTAACCCAATATATCAAAGTAGATTCATTTTAACATATAAACAACATAAGAATCACTGAGATATTTTACATTCTTTATTTTGTACTTTATTTTTGAAATCCATTGTATATTTTATCCTGGCCAAGTCACATGTGCTTACTGGTGACCATATTGGATGGCATAGGTTTGGAGGAAGAGTCTAAGGAAAGCATTTCCAAGAGGGAGAAATTGAGCCCGGCTGGTGGGCTCATGGTTCAGTGTTGATCCATGCACCAGGAGGCCACTTGTTCAATTCCTGGTCAGGGCACATGCCTGGGTTGCGGGCTCGATCCCCAGTGTGGTGTGTACAGGAGGCAGGCGATCAATGTTTCTCTCTCTCCCTTCCTCTCTCTCTAAAAATCAATAGAAATATTTTTTTAAAGGGGGAAGAAATTGAATCTTAATTAATAGGGTAAATGTTTATCTTGCCTTCTCTCTCACTAATAAGATAAATGTTTATCTTGCCTTCTTCCTGCATTTTCCCACAAACGTTAAATAAGGAACCAAATTGTCCCTACCTCTGGGAGATGAGATAAGTGTGTCCAGATGTTAAGTGTGTTTGGATGTGAAGGTTGTGATGATGATTGCCTTCTGGTTTGAATAGGACCTGAGACCAAGGAAGGTGGGGCATCAGTATCCCTTTCAGTACTGGGGACCCTTGAGCTAATGATAGGATGATGCCTATTCGTGCACATTGTACCTTTCACATGATGAACAGGTAATGAGAAGGTACACACTGGTCTTCTGAAGAGGCTGAGCTGGGTGTGCGCTGGTGCTACCAGCTGCCCGCCATGACTCGAGGGGTTGGCGTACAGGGATTGGACACGGAGGCTCAGCTCTCAGGGGCTTAGCCACCTTGTCAAGTTCTCAGACTTCCCTGAGCCTTAACATTTCATTTTCTGCCCTCCCCTTGTCACTGCGTTAGTACACGAGTCAGATGAGGACTTGGACTTATATGTGCTTTGAAAGCTGCTTTTTAAAAATGCTTTAAAAAGAAAGGGTTTCGTAGAATATCAGTCCTTCTTTCTGTATCTGATTCACCAAATCTCTTATGTGCCAAGTATTTGTGGATGATCGATTCCAGTCACTGCTTTGGGATTAAGTTGATTGAAAGATGCTAAGGACTTCCGTAAACTGTGCCGACTACTCTGAGAGACTATCCCCACTCTCTCTGGTCTGCATTTGACCTGAGGTCATCAGGCCCCAGCTGGAGTTTGGAAATATTTTATCTGTATGAGAACTTTATTTTTATGAGGTGCGACCCATGTCGGTCTGGCACAGAGAATCTCAGTGTCAGATAGTTGAGAGCCTCTGCAGCCTGTGGACCAGCCGTCTCAGCACACACCCCTGAGGTGCCACTCGGGAGCCTGCCTTTGAACAGGATCCCAGGAGAGACCAGCGTCCATGAAAGCCTGAGAAGCACTACCCCATGTCCCAGCTAGTGATGTCAGCGCAGCCTCAGCTCGGACAGCTGCTGGGGCAGGCCACGCACTCTCATCAGGCAGCCCCTGCTGTTGCTGGACAGACAGCTCTTACTTTTAGAAAGTTTCCCCTTCGCTCCCCTTGCCTGGAGGTATGCCCCACTCGGGGTGCCCAGAATAAGTTTCATTCTTCTGCTGTGTGAAAGCCGAAGAGTAGGCTACTGCTTCCCTTTGTTACGCAGAAGCCTGGACCCAGAGGCTGGTAGGTGATGAGGGGGCTATGCAGGGTCAGCGCCTGTCACCTGCCAGAGCCTGCAGGCCCCTAGACGCTGTAGGAGCTTGAACAGGCCTCTTCCCATCCTGCGTCTGCCTTCACTCCTGCCGAGTCCAGGGGGCTGGCTAGGTGATTGCAGTTTGGAGGGGGTTTAGAGAACTTGAAGGGGTTTCCCAAAAGGACAGGAGGGTAGAAGTGGTGCCTGGAATGGGTGTGGGTCCTGCAGGGCTTGCCTGGAAGGACAGGGTCCTGTATAGTGGCACCAAGCAGGAGGGGGTGGGGTGGTGGCCTGGGAAGAGCAACCCAGCAGCTTTCCCTGTCCCTGGCTGAGCGTCAGCTTTCTGGGTTCTAGAAGAAAAGGGGATGGGTAACCCTGCCCTGCCTGTCTCCGGGGTTTCTGCGGGACTCTGTGAAGTACGGTCAGTGGGCACACTTGGGAATGTGGGACATGGTCCGGGATGACAGGGAAGGTCCTCGGGAACAGTCGACGACACCAGGAACCAAGTGTGCCGCTAGCTCACGGAGTGGCCTCAGGAGGCCTCACCTTCTCAGGGCCTCTCTGGAATGAGGGAGCTACACACAGGTGTCCCTGGAGGTGCTGAGGCTCAGGGCTATGATGGTGGGTCGCCTGGAGGAAGTCTCCAAGGATGGCTCTTCAAATATTTATTTAGGGAGACTCCCCAGAGCTTGAGATGGAATCCTTTGTGAGGGAAATGATTTCATACACCCTGCGGTGCGGGCCTGGCCTCTCCTGTGGGAGACCCACTTTAAAGAGGGGTGCTCGGCCATGACTGCCCCTGTGGTACCTGAGCTGATGAGTGATGGTTTCAGCTCCGCTCTGTGAGACGTCTCAACTCCTCAAACACCTAGCTGGAGTGTGTCATGTGCAGATCTTTCCAGAACAGTCTTGTTCCAATACTAAACATTACCAAGGAGCTTTTCAGAAGCGTTACTCGGTTTTTGTTAGTACTGAAGTGTGGTGGGCCTGGTAGTTTTGTGAGCCTGCTTTGCCAGCAGTTGGCCAGGTAACTGATACTGGCTTTGGTCCAGCAGCCCATCCATAGATGCTGGGCAGCTGAGAGCAAGGGGACCAAGTGTGTGGTAACGGAGGGACGTAACTGTTCTTTAGACAGCCCTTCCGTGTCTGTCTGCCACTCTGGGACCCTGTGTTGTCCTTCTCACCTCCCTGCAGCCATGTCTCAGCCTCCCATCTCATTGCCTGGATGCTTGCTTCTAACTCTGTACATTGCATTTTCTCCTGTGCACCCACCGTGTTGTCATGGAGACTCGGTGGCCCTAGGCTACGAGTGTCCGGTGTCATCGAGTGTGATGGTGTGGTACGTGTATTTGCTCACGCTTTTATTTTGAATTCTTTCCAATGTGACATCTGCTAAAATGTCTCCCTTATAATTTGCTTGGTGATCACAGCCTTCTCATCATTCATTGAGCGCAGGACCTGATCTCACAGAATCTGAAAAGAGCTATGTGGTAAGACGCCTGTTGACTAAGACTGTAGCTTTTCTAGAAAGAGTCCTTACTGGCCTCCAGAGTACAGCCGGGAGTACTGCCTGGTTAACTCTCAGCCACTAGTTACAAGGATTATGTGGCTACTGTCGTAGAGAGATGTTAGGCCGCCCCCTCCCTCTCAAAAAAGCAGAGGAATTAGAGATGCCATTTCTCCTCTGCCTCCATATGGGATTAAATCAATGTCTTAGTGCATGATCGGGGATACATACTTGCATTTCTATCCTGAAGTTATTCTGTTTGTAACAGTTACTCACTAATTGCAGGCTTTTATGCTGCTACCTTTTTTTTTAATATTCATACTAAATTCCGAATTCTGTATCTTACCTGTTTTTCCATGCTTACGCCTGGATCCCTCCTGCACTCCACTACTGGAATATCTATTTTTTTAACCTGGATCTTCAACTCTGTTGTTTTCCTGGACTTATGTGCTTCGTCTGGAATGTTCCATCTCTTCCTCTCTTTCTTTTTTTATTTTTTTGTCCCCATGTTGACTGTTTTATGGGGGTTTCTGGATATCTCGGGGCCACCTCACAGGAAGCAGTTTGCAATGAGATCATAAACATTGCCGAAAAGTCTGTTCATTACTGCAGCACTGTCTCTCATCCCCTTGACTTTCATCACAAGGTACCCCCTTCTGACAATAAATCATCTTTAATCATTTCTCAGCAACCTCAAGCCCAGCAGCGAAGAGTCACCCCAGACAGGAGTCAAGCCTCACAAGATTTGTAAGTACACGGCAAACTTCAATTCTCTCATTTTAGCAGACTGTTGGGCTTAGGAAGTGGGTCATTGACTGGCTGTGGGGCAGCCAGGCGGGGGAATGAGTGAATCACTCCCAGCTTCTCTGAGAATTCCGTGTTTCCCATCAGCCAGTGTGAGAACAGGTGGCAGGTCAATAAGGTCATGACCTACTGGGAGAGAGACAGGTAAAGAATGAACTGCTCTCCAAGGACAAATGAGAGCTGTGCTGACTGGCTTCCCGCCTAGTGTTGTGGGAATAGAGGAAGGAAATTGATTCTGACGAGAGCTGAGTGAATAGGGTTGATCCATTCATTAAAAACAATATATTGGCTCTGTCTCCTCTTTTAAGCACAGAGGAGTAAACTCCATTCCCAGAGGGAGGGGATTTGGAATAAGCACTGAAAGACAAACTGGCCTTGAGGGTTAGAGCAGGGTCTTCCTGGCTAAGGAAACCCCATGGGCAAGAATCAAAGCTCAAGAAGTAGGTTGGGACCTGTTGCAGAATCCATGATGCGGCTGAAATAAGTTTGGGTTTCATTCTGCAGGCTCTCAGGAGCCACCAGAGGGTTTGAAGTGAGGAGCATATTGCTTCTGTTTTGTTTTCGGGAGGTAACTCTGGTAACGGAGTAGAAGGTGGGTTTCAGAGGCGAGGGACAAAGATGCTGGTCAGGAGATGTTAATCCAGGCAAGGAGTGATGAGGGCCTGAGCCAGGACAGAGTGGGTGCGCTGTGACCACGGGCACATGCAAGGTCACCAAGGAGACTCCGGATAGAGCGAGAAGGGAAACGAGGGTAGATCCTGGGAGAACAACTTTTAAGGCAACAGAGGAGCCACAGGAGACTCGGGAGGGGGGTTAGGAGCGATCCCTTGTGCAGATTGGAGCAAGCGTGTTCGGTCAGCAGTGCCTCCTGCTCCAGAGCGGCCAAGGCGGGAGGAAATGCAACGTGTCCTCCAGGTGTTCTGTTCGGCAACTGGAGAAAATCATGGGTGACCTCAGAGACAGCAGTTACAGAGGGGGAGGCAGACGCCTCCTTAGAAAGGGTTGGTAGTCGGTGCCATGGTGGGTGAAAGGGCTCTAGACGGAGGGAGTAGCAGACAGAGGGGGGTATTTTTAGGGTGCAGAGACTTAAGTACATTTGTACCAGAGGAGAAGGGGTTGACAGAGTCAACAGATGTAGGAGAGAACACGGAAGCTAAGGAAATAGCCCAGGGAAGGGAGTTCAACTTGACCAGAAGGGACCCTTCCTCCCGTGTGGGAACAGAGCAGGAGGGAGGGGGTCCGGAGACTTAAACCTGAATGGGGCAGCGTGAAGAGCCCTCTGCACAGGGAAGCAGAGGAGGCGGGGGACTCCCACCCAACATCAGCGCTGCCTCGGCGACCCAAGCAGCAAGGCTACGGGACTTCCTCCAGCCGCGCTCCGCAGTCTGGGAGTGAGAGCAGGAAGCAGAATCAGGAGTTACTTCCCAGAGCTGAGCAAGTGGAGGTGAAGGGGAGCAGGCGTTCCAAGGAGGCCGGGGTGGGTGGGAGGCAGCAGGCACATACAGAAACAGCAGAATGTGTTCATTTGCCAACTGAAGTCTGTGGCCGCTCTTAATTCCTCGTTAGAGACCCTCTGGCAGGCAGATCCACCTACAAAAGACGGACACATTCAGATAAATGTACACAATGAAATTGCCCCTTTGGTTTTAGCAGAGGAGAATGAGCCTCTTGTTCTAGGCGCTGGCTTCGCTTACCTGGGTCTGGTCTGTCTTGCCCACACACTGGAGATCACAGGCATCTACTGGAAATGGTAGATGTTTGGCTCATGGCAGAGTTTTTCCTGCTACTGTTGTGTTTCAAAATAGTGAGCGAACAGAACTGTGAACTGGTGTGCAGTGCATGCTTCTTAATTATTTGTCAAAGGAATAAGTGAAAACGGAGCTTTTCCTTGTTGCCAAAGCAGATGCCAGACTTCACTGCATGCCAGCTTTCTCCGAGGTGGCTGTTAGAACAAGCAGAGCAGCACACCCCAAATCGCCTTAGGCCAACTGCCACCTAAATAAAAATCTTAACCCCCAGCTCACTGGGATAGAAAAAAAAGCTTTCAAGAGTTTCAGAAAAATGACATCCATATTTTAAAACAATGAATGAAATGTCTGTTGGTGGATTAAGAAACTCAAAGTAGTTTTGCTAAATGGTGAGGCAACTAGAATATATTTCATATAAATATGACAATTTTATAATATATGACAATTGTCTTGGGCCATCCAATGTAAATTGCCAGAATATAATGTCTATCTCTGGACTTCAGTAACCTCTGACTATTCCCAATAACCTATATAAATTATCCCATGTTAAGAAAAAGCCTTGGTTAAATGTAAAAGGGGAGGGGGACATCTAGACAAAAATCCTCTGTTATGGTAACCAAATGAAACTAAGTAAAAGGATTGGTCATGACTTGCTCAGAAGTTCTCCATCCCTGCCAGTCTTAATTTATTATCAGACTAGAGGCCCAGTGCTCAGATTCATGCACTGGTGGGATCCCTCGGCCTGGCCTGTACCCTCGGGGGATGTCAGACTGCCAGTTTCTGCCTGATCCCCGCAGACCAGGCTGAGGGACCCCACCAGTTCACAAATCCGTGCACCAGGCCTCTAGTGTGCATATAAGATCTTTGGTTAATCTCTTCCTGTCTTCCCCCCCCCCTTCCCTCTGAGATTCATCAGTCTGTTCAATGTTTCCATGCCTGTGTATTGAGCTTCTGACCCCTGGTGGTCAGTGCACATCATAGCTGCCGGTCGAACAATCAAACGGTCAGACGGTCGCTTAGGCTTTTATACATACAGATTGATGTTGAATGGATCTCCCCCAATGATAAGTCATTAGAGAAATCGCCAATAAAATACTTTTTCTCTCCACTGGTAAGCAGGAAACACTACCTAAATGTTGATTTAACTGAAATGGCTTTAAAAAGCCCTTATTTAATCCTATCAGTCACTTAATATCCCTTTTTCTCATTGATAGATTTAGCTACCAAGCATTATATAGCTATATACCACAGAACGATGATGAGTTGGAACTCCGAGATGGAGATATTGTTGATGTCATGGAAAAGTGTGATGATGGATGGTTTGTTGGTAAGTGACCTGGTCCCACTTCTCTTACTAGCCGTGTTCTGAGGGAACAACTAGGAGTGATGAACCGTGCAAAAGCCATATTCTCCGCAGGGAAGAAGAGCCTTCTCGGTCCCTGAACCACCATGAGTGCTGGGCACAGTTCATGTTTGCTCTCGAGACTGTGTGGCTGGCAGTAATTAGTGTTGGACCTAAAGCTCAAATCTGCCAGCGTCCAATGGAGGGAGGGCACTTGTCAAATTTATTAATTAAGTTCTGTTTGTATTTCTATTGTGCATGTATCTGTTCTACATTTGGAAATTTTATTTTTTAAAACTCTTATGAAACAACGCAAGAAACTTTGACCGAGCCTAGGTCTCTACCATGAAACTCAAGCGTATGCGCAAACATTTCAAGATCTTATCTACTCCAGCCTTCTAATAATTTTAATCAAAGCAATCTGCTTAATTAAAACAAAGGATTCACCTTTATAAAATGGGGGAATAAGTGAAATTCTATTACAAAGCAGATACTTGCTTGATATACTTTCTTATTGATAGTCTTTCAACAAACAGCCCAAAAGCCAAGAATAATCCTCATCACAGATTCAAAAACTGAGGCCCAAAGAGATTAAGTACCTAGCTCAGTGATGGCGAACCTATGACACGCGTGTCAGGTGACACGCGAACTCATTTTTTTGGTTGATTTTTCTTTGTTAAATGGCATTTAAATATATAAAATAAATATCAAAAATAAACTATGGTTGCAAATATCAAAAAATTCCTATATGTGACACGGCACCAGAGTTAAGTTAGGGTTTTTCAAAATGCTGACACGCCGAGCTCAAAAGGTTCGCCATCACTGCCCTAGCCCAAGGCCACCCAGGCAGCAAATAGTCGGGCCAGTGTTTGAACCCCGGCCCACCTGTCCCCAAGCCTCTGTTCCTTCTTCAGGTATGAGTATGGTGTTGGGAGTCACCAGCTCACTCTTTGCCTCAATTTTCCCCTTGTACAATGGCTTTGCCTTTATCTTCTCTCCAAAGACTTTTTCCTGATCTCTCTGCACAAGCTTTACTAAAGCAAAGTGATGCCAGGGCTGGGGAAGCGAGAACAGCAAGGTCTCAGCATAAACCGGAAGCCAGAAAGACTTGCCGTGGCCTCACCAGCCTCTTAGAAAGCCGCGCATCCTCCCAGGGCCCCCAGAAGCCTGCAGGCTCGCTACCTTGAGTGCTGTGTTCAGAGGGAAACCAGATCTGAGAAGTCAGCAGTACACTGGTGCAGCGATTTTCAGCCAGTGAGCCACAGGAATTTTTAAAACATGCAATTCCTGACTGCTTAGTCAGGGGCACTGACCTCTTTGCCCTTAGATTGTCAAATTTAAAAAATGACAACAGCCAGCACAACGATAGCCACTTGGTGTGAATGATTCAAAATTATACCAATTTTTTTGGCAAATTAGCAAAAAATATGTTTTTGGTGTGCCACAGAATTTTCGTAATGAGTGCATGTGTGCCATGAGATGAAAAAGGTTGAAAATCGCCTTTTTAATGCAAAGAAGTCCAGTAGAAACATAATACAAACTATGTACAAAATAAGTAAAATGAAGCCAGTGAAATTAATTTAATATATTTTATTAAACCCAATGCATTCAAAATGTTATCATTTGAACATGTAATCGGTATAAAAAACTGTGAGCTACTTTACATTCTTCATTCTGTACTGAGCCTTCGAAGTCCAGTGCTGTTTCCCGGGGCAGCCAGCCAGTTCGGAGCGGCCGAGCCTCAGTGCTCAGTAGACGCCTATGGCCACCGCGCGAGAGCCCAGCTCCCGTGCATACGCGCTGCTAACCTCTCCCCTCCCAGAGCAGTTACGGTTTTTACCAGAACCGGGGGTGGGGTGAGGGGCACCAGTTCTCTAACGGAGCATCCCGGCAGCTTGGTAAAGGAAATATTTCAGATTCCTCAATTCCTCAAACACTTCCAAAAGTAACCCAATATTCAGACTTCGATTAAAGTAACCCAGCCACGCTCCTCCTCATCCATAAGGCAAGGCACTCACCAGCTCTCTGCGGCATCTCTGGGCCTTCCCACCTTCTTGACCCTCCCCCCAGGGGGTCAGGTAGTCGCTGTGACATATTCTTTTATCTGAGACTTTTCACTTCGGGCAACAGCTCCAATGCACTGGTAGTGGCTGCTTGAAGGTTGTATTCGACAGGATTCTGAGCCACATCCAGGCCAACTGGGAAAAGGAAGCAGTGCTCAGATTGTGTTGTCTGCTAATGAGAGGGTAATGGTGGCACAGCTTCACACACACGCATACACACACACACACACACACACACACACACACGCCGCTCTAGAGGGAATCCCGAGGGCAGGAACTGGATAGGGATCTGGAGCAGCCCAGGAAGGGCTTTGTTCCCAAACCGTGTAATGTTCCTGGCCCAACAGGAACCCTCCTAAGGTTGGTCACAAAGGCTGGGAGTCCGTGTGGGGCTTAGGCAGGCCTAGGAGAGGAATTTCCTTTTGATGTGTGGTCATATCCATCGGACTTTCACAAATCCTGCAGTTTAGAAACTAAATCCCCAGTGTCTTGTGTTGGAGAGATGTGTCCATTCTTCCAAAAACGGAGAAGCATTGGAAAGAGCAGTGGCTGGGGAACAGAGGCTTGGGTTCAAGTGTGCCCTGGTGCTTGCTAAGCTGTGGGGCCTCAGCAATGTCACCTGCGCTCTCTGAAAACAAAGCTCATCTGAACAAAACGCAGGAGTGTTAAAAGCGCCTGCCTCGCTCAGCACCCAGCCCAACGCTGAGCCTGAGTGAGGGAAGGGAAGGGAAGGGAAGGGAAGGGAAGGGA